TTACCTATCTATTATAGGTATTATGAATTAGCTATTCATAGTATTATGAATCCTCTGTATCTTGCCTTCTGATGTTAGTCAGTTTAATATCGGAAATTGTGATGATAGTGGTATTCATCCTAAATGTTGAAAGCATTTAACTGTAATTCTTTCATATTAGAATAAACCAGGCAAAGCAGAAATTCAAAATCAGGACCCTGTATGGAACAATTTATAGCAGCAGCCTACATTCCTGCATTTGTGAAGCTTCTGTCATACCAGTGCTTGCTTTTAAGCCTTCTTGGTGGCTTAAAATAAAAATTTTATTTTATTTTTCTCTTTCATCTGTCTATTCTGTTGAATACTCAAGGCAGTAAAATATGACATACTTTAAGGATAATCTGACTGAGGAATAGTGCCAGCTGGAGTTAAAGAGTAGCATTAAAGTATGCAAAAGAGATCCTGCTGCCCTCCTGAGATGGAGAACCACAGTTCTCATCATCCCTGACCATAGATGCAATTGGCTAAAGATCAATTGACTAAGGATTAGGGATCCAACATATAGAGGGCCATATGTTCCTCATACTAGACACAGAGGCATCTGTATGCTTTATGAGCAACCATGTATGTAACATTTTGGACTTTTTTTTTTTTTTAACAAATTGAATTTTTTCCAGGTTTTGCAGCTGGAATCTGGGGAACATATCTGATAACTCACTATCACATTTCTGATCAGATCATTCCACTTGGGTCAATTTAAGCAGACAGGAAAACATCCTCAGTTCATCAAGATGCTTTTGTCCAGTAGATAAAGAGGCACCCCTACCAGTTGTTTCCCATTTTGAGGGAGTAAAGGGAACCAAGGCTCAGCATTCCTAGAAGTAGGCAGAGAAAGGAATCCAGGCAGCACTAACATAGATGGCTCTGTGTGTATGTATACCTGGCACTATTACTACACATGGTACCTCTGGTTCTTATCAAGCTTCAGTTTTGCAGTTTCCAACCTGTTTGTAAACTTCTTTCTTCTTCAAGTCCCTTTTTTTCTAAGATGATGGGAGTTCTACTCACTTCTTTTTTGCACTATAGATGTCTTTACTTCCTGTTATAGGTTTATAAAGCAAACTGGCTATACTTCTCCCCTCTAAGAGTTAATATTTTAAGAGTTTGTCCAGCGATTCCTGCCTTGAGAAATACAAAGTAATAACACAGCACCCCTGGATTCAGGTTTTGGGAGTTGTGGGAGAGAGATGAGGATTAATTCTTATACTTGATGTTAAAGCTTGTCCAAGAGGTTTGCTTTGGGGGGAGCATTGCTAGGGCCGACTGGTCTTGCTAAATGGTTGCTAAGGCCCTGGCATTGAGGTCCAATGGAGTGGCCCACAGTCACGGTCACGGAGGGAATTACACAGCCACAAAGAAATTGTTATTTTCTGTAATCTGCTCTTTGGAGAGTGACTCGGGGAGATGGACTGGTCCCAGCATGCTGTCGGTGCTGTGATCACAGAAGCGTGTTGGCTCTGGTGAACGGGTAGGGCTCACCTTCTGATCTGGGGGATACCAGTGCTGCTGGTGCTAATCTGCTTTCTCAGCAATTTTGCTCCTCTGACACAACGGTGTTTACTTGTTTGAACATCTCCTGGGACTCTATTTCACCTATTGTGTGGTCTTTATCCTCCCCACCCCCATGGAGCTTTAGCCCAGATTACAGATGGAATTAGGCCTCTGGCTCGGGTGCCCCAGAAAGACTGATATGGGATCAAGGAGCAGAAAGTAACAAAATAACTAGGGGGGGAGTAGTTGCTTTAGGGAGTGGAGGCTGTATTGTCCCATGAAGCGAGAGCCAGTGCACTAGTCTGAAAAGCAGGCGTTCAGTGCTTTGTGTCCAATTCTTATTAGACTGTTAGGGAGGAGGAGAAGGGCTGGGAACATGTGGGCCTTTAGTGGCTGAATGAGCTTCATTGGATGCTGTTGTCTGAATGTTAGTGAGAATTGTGGCAGCCTGGCTTTCTCTTGTAAAGGAGATTTGGGGGGGTGGGGAGAGGACAGATGGGACATGTTGGTTCTCAATTAGGAACATGTATTAATTAATCAGAGAACCCTGTGCCAGACAGACCTTTTAAGGGGACTGCTCAGCTGTCTTTATTCAAAATCCCTTGTTCCTTGACTTCTTTTGTTTTGCATACCCTTTTAGTTTACCCATCTTTTTATAATGTTGCATTCTTGATTTCTGCCTGGGCACATAAATCCTAATATGTAGCCTATTTATGATCTTTCCAGTTTAAAATAATAATAATAATAACAACAACAACAACAACAACAACAACACCAACAAAATCACCATCAGTCAATTACAAAAGGCAGCTCTACTTGGAACAGCTTACATCCTGCGATGGTACCTTTAACATCATCAAACAACATCTGCCTATCTCACACTGCCCAGAGTCGCTTTGTGTGAAACGGGTGGCTATATAAATGTGATGTATAAATAAATAATCAATCAGTCGATCAATCTCAGGTCCTTGGGAAGGACTCGATAGATGGATAAAAATGCCAAATCCAGTCTAAACTGGCTGACTGTGTGACCAACAATAATATAAAAATTGAACATTTTAAATAAATCTTCAAGTTCTGCAACTAACACTGTGCTTCTCTTAATTACACAGTCTTCGAGTTACAACCATTCGTTCAGTGACCATTCAAAGTTATGATGGTGCTGAGCAAAGGGACTTACGACTGGTCCTCAAAATTCTGGCCATTGCAACTCCCTTGTGATCACGTGAACAAAATTTGGGTGCTTGGCAACCAGCTCGCACTTAGACTGATTGCAGCGTCCCTTGGTCACATGATTGCCATTTGCGACCTTTCCTACTGGCTTTCCACAAGCAAAGTCAATGGGGAAGCTGCCAGGGAAGGTTGCAAGTTGCTCGAGTAAGTCTCTCCCCCCGGTCCTTCTTCACTCACATGTACCGTGCCCTCCTTCCCTTGTTCATTTGCACATACCCACCAGCGCCCTCCTTCCCTGAGCCTCCCTGAGCTTGCACACATGCACCCACCAGTGTCCTCCTTCCCTGGGCCTTCCTGCACTTGCACCCACCAATCCGCCTTTCCTGGGCCTCCCTGTGCCCCCCCCCACACTCCCCACCCTCCTTCCCTGGACTCCCCTGCACTCATGCTGTACTGCAGCACCGCCTCCCCCCAACTCGCATGTGGCCAACTTGCATACGACTACACTGCTTAGCAGTGGCAATCCTGGTCCCAATTGTCATCGTAACTCGAGGACTACCTGTACTGTGTGGGGAAAAGCTCTAGAAAATTCTGCATCCTGAGCAGTGGCTGTGAAATCGGTTATTTGTGGAAAAGTAGCCTTTGAGTGAATTACTAGGAATGCTCAATGCTCTTTTTCAATTATATATAGTGGGAGGAAAATGGAAGGGAATTAATGCAATCTGTGTCTTTGTTCCCTTCCAATTTTAGTTGCATTATTTCCTGCAACCATTCTAAAAACAATAGTCATGCAGGATTATATGAAAGAGAAGCTTGCTTAGATCCTTTAAAATTTGAGCACTGTAAGGGTCTGCATAGTTTCCTTAGGAATGTTCAGTTCATGGTATTGGGAAGGAAAAAAAAGCAAATACTGTCATTTCTGTTGACAATATTACATGTAAGAAGTAGGCTGAAGAAAAGAACTTCCTGAGGATATAGCATATTTAGAGTAAAGAGGCTATATACTGTATCTATCCTTGAGCAGAGTGTATGTATTAAAAAAAGTGCATGGGGAGGAGAAAATTTTGGAGAAAATAGACTTCTCTATAGTTGATATTTGATATTATGAGATAAGCTTTCTAAAAATTGTAATGCATCTAAGAACTGTTTCCAAGGAGAAGCATCATCTTGTCTGTTGCTAAGTCAGGGAGAGAACAAGAAACCAAGAATTTTTACATGTTATTTGACTCATTTTTTGTCACCATGTACGTGTTGAGCAAGGGGAACCATAGTTAACTGTGGCTCCGTCACACATGCATTTTTTCAAATACTTGCTATGTTTCTGTTTTATATAATGTAAACTTGTTTCTATGTGTGGTGCATATTGGAATAAGCAAAACAATTCTGCTGAGCTATAGGATGGATTCCACCACTGCTGCCCATGGGCTTCATTAGAAAGTTGCTTTTTAGTTTTAAATTCTTAATTTACAGATCATACTTCCAGCCATAATATGGAATTACAGTGATTGGGTTTCTCCTTGTTGTGTTGATATTGGTAGATAAAAGGGGATGGTTGCTTGCATTTATACCTTGTCCTTAGGACTACTAACACAAGGACAAACATAGCTATAAGTCTTGGAGAATCTAGATGTCTCCAGCATATGCTATATTTCATATAGCAGGTAAATGTTCCTTCAATCTACCAGGGAGGTTTTTTAAATGAGCCCTTATTTGTTGAAAGCTGTACTATCCTTGGTAAAGATTATTTTCTGACTCTGCTGCACAGCATGCTATTCACTGGATAATTGTCCTCCCTGCTACAGAGGCAGCATGTTGTCATGGATAGATGTGGCAGCAGAGAACTCAGAACGTAATATAAATACCCAAAAGAAAGAACTGTACTTCTCACATTTGTGGACTATCAGTTACAATCAATAATACTGTCCCTTGATTCTCTATCTACTGTATCTTCTAAATTTAATAAATCAGCTTAGCTAATATAAATATTTCTTATGCTTGCTCTTCACAAAGGATACGTAAAGCTTGACTAGTGATAGAAGCAGAACTGAGTAATGGCTTTTATAATTTTAAACAGAAAGTGGCTAATGTTTGTTTATCCTGATATGCTTTTGTACAACTAGTGATTGATATTTTTTTACTGGGATCAAACTAATCTGCATTTATTTGGTCCTTTAGCATTTTATTCCACTTGTTTATTGTCACTGAAAATCTATGTGAAGATAAAACCCTAGCTTAATATATGTGATGTATAGCTAGTAAACACTGGAGTTTAATTTTTTGTTTGTTTCTCTCCTCAGTGGGCAGCTGATTACCTGTCTTGGAACAGACTTCCACCGAGGAGCTGGAGTCTTGGATGTTTTCTATGAAACACCTTCAACTTTGCTGTCTTGTGGATATGATACCTACATACGATACTGGGATTTAAGAACAAGCACAAAGTTAGTTTGGGACCTTGCTTCTTTTAAAAAGATTTTAGAAATACTTATTTAACAGCTTTCAAGATGACTTGTTAACAGTCCAGACTAGTCACCAGAACTTTATTTTTTGTACCTTTGAGTCAATATTGACTCCTAGCAACTGCCTGGGCAATATAGTCCCTGTAGTTTTCTTGGCAACATTTTCAGAAGTGGTTTCCCATTGCCTCCTTCCTAGGGCTGAGAGAGAATGACTGGGCCAAGGTCACCCAGCTGGCTTTATGCCTAAGGTGGGACTAGAATTCACTGTCTCCCTTTTTCTAGCCTGGTGCCTTAGCCACTACAAACTGGCTCTCATCACAAGAACTGGCAAATAGTATCTAGTAAAAAATATTTTTACATTATCTCATGGTATTTTCTCTACCATCAATCTCCCAGGGAATGTGTGAAGAAATGGGAAGAACCACATGACAGTGCCCTATATTGTATTAGAAGCAATGGAAATCATATGATTGCAAGTGGCTCTTCTTATTATGGAGTGGTACGTCTTTGGGACAAACGGCAAACCAGATGCTTGCAGGTGAGGCATCATCACAGTGTTCCCAAAAGATGATTATAAAGAGAACAATACTTAAATTGCCTTACAGAGAATAAGTGTGGAAATCTGTTCTTCTGTTTACGGCCACAGTAGGGACCAGAAAATTCATCGTTAAGCAGTGCAGTCATTAAGTGAGGCATCATGTGACCGCACCTGATTTTACAATATTTTTTGAGGCAATCACTAAGCAAATTACCGTGGTCATTAAGTGAATCATATGGCCATTAAGCAAATCACACTATCATTAAGTGAATCACATGGTTCACAATTGATTTTGCTGGTCAGAAGCTGGCTGGCAAGGTCACAAACGGCGATCGTGTGACCCCAGGATGCTGCAACCATCGTAAATACATGCCGGTTGCCAGGTGCCTGAATTTTGATCACGTTACTGCAGGGACACTGCGATGGTCATAAGTGCGAGGACTGGTCATAAGGCACTTTTTTCAGTGCCATCATAACTTTGAATGATCACTAAACAAATGGTCGTAAATTGAGGAATACCTGTAAACATAATGGATAGAATGGTAGATTTGGACAAAGGAGATACAAGTTTAAGCATTTGCTAACATGAATAATGAACCTTTGTATGTGGCATTGGGATAATGTACAGGTAGTCCTCGACTTATGATGGCAGTTGGAACTGGAATTTCTGTCACTAAGCGATGTGGTTGTAAGGCGCAACTGCATCCCTTAGCTATAGCAATCCCTGCGGTCCCGATTGCTGTCATTAACTGAATTCCACAGTCATTAGGCAACTTCCTGCCAGCTTCCCACAACCAAGTCAGTGGGGAAACTGGCAGGAAGTTAGAAGTCCCAGGTGGCTTGCAATCAAGCCAGCAGGCAGGTAGATGGCTGCTGCTGGGTGGGGGAGGGTACAAGGGTGTGAGGGAGGTGCTACGAGGCTCGGGAAGAGTGCGCAGGGGTGAGGGAGACATGGTGAGGCTCAGGGAGGGTGTGCAAGAGTGCAAGGGAGGCATGGCAAGTCTTGGGGAGGGTGTGTGTGGGTGCGCAGGGATGTGAGGGAGGCATGGTAAGGTTCAGGGAAGACACATCAGGGTACAAGGGAGGTGCAGAAAGGCTCAGGGAGGGTGTGGGGGTGAAAGGGAGGTGGGGTGCAGTGCATGGGGATGCACAAGTGGCAGGGAGGGCTCAGGGAGGGTCTGTGGGGATGCGCGAGCGGTGGGGAGGCTCAGGGAAGCTGTGTGATGGTGCAAGGAAGGTGTGGCGAGGCTCAGGGAGGGAGTGTGGGTGTGTGCAAGGGTGCAAGGGAGACGTGAGGCTCAGGGATGATGCACAGGGGTGTAAGGGAGGTGCGGTGAGGCTTGGGGAGGGGGTGCAAGGGTGCACGAATGGTGGGGAGGTGCAGCAAGGCTGGGGGAGAGCGTGGGGGGTTGTGCACAAATGGAAGCTTGGGGAGAGTGCGTGAGGGTATGAGGGAGGCTCAGGGAGGGTACACAAGGGTGCAAGGGAGGCACAGTGAGGCTCGTGGATGGCACGCAAGGGTGCAAGGGCATGCATGAGGGTGCAAGGGAAATGCAGCAAGGCTCAAGGAGGGTGCATGGCACAAGTGCAGAAGGGCTGGAGGAGGGTGCATGGGTGGGGGAGACTTACCCTAGTTACTTGCAACCTTCCCTGCTGGTTTCCCCATTGACTTTCTGGGGAAGCTGGCAGGGAAGGTTGCAAATGGTGATCACATGATCACAGGGCGCTGCAACCAGTTGTAAGTGCGAGCCAGTTGCCAAGTGCCTGGATCGCAATCACGTGACCGTGGGGGTGCTGGAATGGTTGGAACTGTTGTAACTCTGAATGGTCACTGAACAAATGGTCTTAAGTTGAGGGCTACCTGTAAACAGTGTATAATTACCCAGTGTAGCTCCAGAAATATTAGTAAAGATATTCTTTAGAGTTATGATTGCTCTTGCTTTGAGCTAATCTTGTTCAAGAAATGGATAGTAGTACCTTTTGTCTGCTGCCTTAGCCCAGTTCTAGTATTTCTTTGCAATAGATGTAAATTTACAAAAAATTTGCAAATTTGCAATAGATGCAAGTTTTCAAAATTGAATTGTGAAGATGCTACATGATTGTCATTTTGTCACTGATCCTTACTATTAAAATTTTAAAATAACTTATCTAGAAGTATATTTCTTACTGCTTTGCAGAGCTTCTCCTTGTCATCGCCTATCAGCAGTCCTGTATATTGTCTACGTTTCAGCACCACCCATCTCTATGCGACCCTGGCATCAGCACTGTATGTCCTTGATTTCACTACCTCCTGACACTGATATGCTTGGACTTCAGACTTGATAGTCAGCTCAGGGAGCACAAAGAAAGTATAACATCCTTGAGACAATAAACAACCAGTGGTAAAGAAGACCCCATTTCTGCCTTCTGGTGTCAATAAAATCTAATGTATCCTTCCAACCCAATATTTTGTACGCTTTTGGTTTTGGTTACCTTTCTTATTCCGAGAAAGGCATAATTCAGTAAGTCTTAGGATGTGCATATTCTTTGGTACCAGCATAGTTTGGGCTTCTGAATGTTGCATGTTCAATATATTTCATTGTGATAATTTAATTGAGGAGGAAGCAACTATATCTGGACACTGAAGTAGGGTGGTAATATTTTACTTCTGCTTCACTGACATCCATAACTTTTTCATGAATAAATATTGGGCTATAAGATGGAATGCTTAGTTGGCTCTCTGTAAATTAAATCAAGTATAAATATTGTTGTTTGGCACCATATAAGAACTGTTTTATTGGATCGATGCTGTCAGGCCAGTGTGTTGAATAAATTATTAAAATAGCATACAAAAAGTGTCTTTGATTTCAAAAAGTAATTGATTAGTGGCAGTGCATTTGACTTGATGCCTTTTATTCAGTACCGTGATTTACTTCACCACAAGTCAGGCAATTCTGAAATAATGGAATTTTATTGATGAGCCGGGAAATGCCTATCTATGACATACATGGCAAGCTGAGAATAAATATTCCTGAAAAATTATCAGAGTCATAAAGATAATGGATGATTTCTCTTTCCCTAATATTTGAAAAAAACATCTAGTCATGCATAATTCTGAGAGAAGATGCAAAAACATAGGGTAGTATACTGGCCTCTGTCATCACTCTCACCAAACACCTGTATTTATAAATGGAATATCCTGAATACTAATACTTCTTGTTTTCTGTAAAGACTTACAGTATTTCTGAACTATGTACTCCCCTTCTTATACATATGAGTTTAAATAGGATACTACAGAGGTAGGACTATCATCAAATAAGAAATGATCGGAGAATTCAAAGGTTTCCAGAAACATTAAAAATAATGTATCAGGAAAATAAGAAACACAATTTGGAGATATGTGAATGGAAAAGGTATTGGCTGGCCAAAACAGCCAACAGGAACAGGAACGTTCTCCACTTGTGTTTTGTTGAAGTCTTACTTTTTATCCTAATTGCCATTATCAAATTGTTAAACAGCGAATTCTGTGTAAGATAGAAATGTATTCTATTTGTAGAATTGAGTGAAAAAGTGTCTGAAGCACAGGCACTCACTCACTCACTCACTCACTCACTCACTCACTCATTCATTCATTCATTCATTCAACTAATGTCTGATATACAAAATTGTATAATTGAGATAAAGGGAAATTGTTTTTTAGTAGAATGAAAGATGAACAAATTGGATTACACACTTTGGATATTCTTCCATGCATGAAGGATTGGGAAACAAGGACAATATCATGAAAATCTTTTTATTTTAAAACAAAATATTTGCATAGGGTTATCACTGTGGTTCAAATGCTGGTATGCTGTAAGAGATAAACTTAATAGGGCCTCAGGATAAGTAATAAAAATATAAGACAAATCACATCCTATAGTATAAGAAAGTGGCTATGTAATTTTGGAAACAAACTTTAAAAGCAGATGCTAGGAGTTGGCCCTGAAATTGACTTCAGAAATTCCAGATATGGCAATGTTGACAGTGACAGAAATGGAACAGAACTACTGTGTTATTCTCTATCTCCCAGACCTACAACAACAGGGGGGTAGTGGAACTGGACTGGAGGGAGGGAGAGTGGTATTTGATAGGACTTAGGACTAGATTTGAGACTTTCCAGGAAGGAGTTCCCTCCTCCATTAAGGTGGCAATAGTGGCCAGATTGAGGGGCCTCAGTGGGCTGGCAGCAGGTTGGGATTTTAGGTCTCTAATCATCTGCCTAAATCAGCCATTCAGATACTTGAGAGTTGCCAGTTGGCACAGAGCAGAATGTGGGGCATTCAGGTTGCTGGGAGTTGGACAAGGGACCTTGGGACTACACCTACTAGTAGTCCAGTGTTGCAAGGCCTGAGGTGGTGGATGTAGTTTCCTGGGGAACTCCTATGATGCCAGTGTTTTGGATGCACCTGCTGGTGATATCCTGCTGCTGCCTAGAGGGGTGATTTGTTCTCCTATAACTGGAAGGGGGCAGTCTCTCAGGTGAGAGCCAAGGGGAGTGAAGAAATACTGACCCCCAGTAAGGGTAAGGGTCAGAGAAGTAAGGAGGTAGTGCCCAAGACAGTGGGAGAAAGTATGTGTGTACTATATTCACATCACCTTGTATAGGCATACTAGAATGCGCTGAAAATTACAGCTAGTCGTTTAGCGACCACAATTGGGACCTGCAACTTGGTCATTAAGTGAAGCGGTTTGCTAAGTAAAACTGCAAAATGTTGATTAGGGGTTTGGTTGAGTGGTTTGCCTAGTTGCTGACTCCATCAGTAGGTTGAGTGACAGGTGATGTTTTAGTTTGGGAATTGAGTTAATACCAGCTTTTACATGGGGTGAGCAAGTTGTGTGAATGGGAGTGTAGCTGCTATATCCTAGCAGTGTTGGACCAGGGGTGATATGGCAGAAGATACTAACTGGCCATATTATGGTAACCATGGGCTTGTCCCAGGTAATTTTGGACTAATACACATAGTGGCCATGTATTGCACCTAGTTTTTGCTTCAGACCAGTTGAAGCCTGGATATGGAAAGTATTACCATTACCCCTTTGTCATGGTCAGATCATTTCTTGGTCTAGCTTCAACTGATGGCTACTCATGACCTCCACATGGTCATGCCCATTCAGAGGGTCCACCTCAGGCACTTTTGGATCTGGATAGTTTCTGGTGGGCACTTGACAATCTGATACATGAGTCTACTGAGTGCCTGATTCACTGCTAACAACATGAGGCAACTTGAGCCCTCAGTGAAATTGCTTCTGAGCAGCCATTCTCTGTTGGCTTATCCTGGGTGGCCCCTGGTTTTTGGAGTGCCATTGGAAGCATAGGCAGCAATGCCTGGAAAATAGGTGGAGGAATACAAAGAATGAAACTGAGCACAAGTATATGCCCAGATTTGAGTCTGTACCATAGTTATAAGAGAGGTGAAGCATTCCTACTTCTCCTCTCTTGTATTGGCAGGCTATCATCCAGAAGCTATTTTCAGGATGGTTAATTCCCTTTGGGGAAAGAGCCAATTGCAAGAGGTTCCTCCTAGCTGTTGTGACCAGTTAGCATAGCACTTTGCCATAAAGCTGTTCAGATTTTCTTGGCTCTGCCTCAATATTGTCTAGTTTTGATTGAAATGTCTTGCCGGGTTAACTGGGATTCTTTAGGTGCTCTCTAGGATGTCCTCTGTTACCTGTGGTCTGGACCCTTGTCCCTCACAGTTGCTTCAGGTATGTATTTATCAGTGTAGACCCTGTCTGACTCCAATTGATTCTGGACTGCTCAAGCATAAAGCAACACAATACAGAAAAAGACATAGCAATAAACAAAATGGCACATCTGGTCAACAACACATACCATACACCCAGCAAGGGGCTCCAACCACCCTAGCCTGAAGCCTCAGAGAACAGCCAAGTCATTAAGACCTGCCAGAATGCCATCAGGGTGGCAGCCTGCTGGGTTTTAGGAGGAACCCCATTCTGGAGTGTAGGCACCATGATAGAGAAGGCATGCTTCTGAGATCCCAATAGACAGCACTGGTTGATCAAAGGAACCTGTAGCACATAAACCTTGCCAGATTGAGCCAGCTGGGCTGACACCACAGGTGATACCATGGTCCCTCCAGTAACCAGGCCTTGTGCCATGTAAGGCTTTATAGGTCATAACAAGCACCTAGAATTGCACCTGGAAAAAAACTGGCATCCAGTGCAGCTTGTGAAGCACACTGAGGGTAGTCAGGGGTGGGTGGGTGTTATTCCCTGGATCTAGAAGATTGTCAATGCAGCAGCTAGAGTAGGTGCTGCTGGGAGTCTTAGAGGCTGTGGCATATTCCCTCCTTAAGAGGTCCTTTCTGGATTTTTGGGTTTTCCAGTTTGTTTCATTTTAGGTTTTTAGATACTATTCAACTGCAACATTTTAATGTTTGTAATCCACCCAGACTCCTGTAGAATCGTGGCAGGGTATAAACAGAATGAATGAATGATCCCTGTTCAGCACATTTATTTAATATGTACAGACAATGCATTCTGCAATTGTTGACTACTGTGTCTTGCAGTCTCCTTCCCCATTATTAGCAGCTTTGATCTTCTTTAGCTCTTTTTGCAGCTCCTCTTCTGCAGCCAGTATTTCTGTTGGCTTTTGATACTACAGAAGAGAAAATAGCCTGAATCTCTGCTAGCATGAACCGAAATGCTATAAACAAAGTACCTCATTTGCAAAAGAGATGGAACATTGAAAAAGAAGAAGCAAAATCATTGAAATATCATGCTCTCATATTCATTTTCAGTCATTTAAGATATAATATCTAGAATATAAGGCTGTATCTCAAATGCATTCCTTTTAATGCACATTATCAGTTCAGATTTTGAAATCTGCCTTACTTTTAATCCTATTTATCCTACTGCACTGTGAAATATCCCATGGCAAATTGTGCACGAACTTTTCCAGCTACTTACACAGTACACAGGGGTACCTCCCTGTGCACTGAAGAAAGAAGTGTTTCTATACTGAGTATCATTGAAAGAGATTAAAAATTGTTTCAGGTTAGAAATAAAAAATATGCAGAGTTGTCATTAAAACTTTGAAGCAGGAATAGCAGTATGAATTTATTTTTCCCTCATAAGCCTCATTGGTATAGCTCTGATTCTTAACTTTTATCCATAGGCCATTTCTGTCCACATATGTTTCCTCAAGTTTTATAAAGGCAGCAAAACAAAAGAGGCCTGCAAGCAGTAATATGCTAATGTTGGCAGGTTAACTTTAAGAGAACTTACTGTGATGATCAATGTATTGTTGGCATGAGTAAAGCTCAAAGCAGTGCTGTCCAAAGGCAGCTGGAATCTGTCTAAATCAGGAATGGTGAATTTCTTGTAGTACCTGAAGGTAAACATGGACATGAAAGTAAGGAAAATTAATTTCTTCACAAATGGAAGACAAATAATACCTGAACTATACTTTTATATGAGGGAAACTGCAGAATTGTTCCAAGGGTTAGAAGTTGAGTATCTTCCATTCAGACTGTTAGGATTATTTTTAATATAGTAAGATACACAAATTGACTAATTAATGAGTTACATTTAAAAATCTGACTGAACATATGTCTCTGTTAATTTGACGAGTAGATTTTGTTTTTAAATATAGCCACATACTAAAAACTGCAATAGCAAGCATTTTCCTAAGATATTCCTTCCTGTGTGAGAGAAGGGGGATGCAATTAAGATGGCGCCTGCTGCAATAGACTATATGCTTTCTCTAAAATAATTTCTCATATGCACATTAAATAAATGTTGATTAGGATGATCATATCTGGGTTGCAGAATTCTGGATTCTTGCAGCCCAGGATGGTAACCCTAGTTTTAATTAAAAACCATAATCAGCATTCATTTTTTAAAAATAAGTAATATTAAGTAGCAGAGAACCAGTTTGGTGTAGTGGTTAAGGTATCAGACTACAAACTTGGAGACGGTGAGTTTTAGTCCCACCTTAGACACAAAACCAGCTGGTGACTGGGCCAGCCTCTCTCAGCCCTAGGAAGGAGGCAATGGCACGCCACTTCCAAAAAACCTTGCCAAGAAAACTGCAGGAACTAGTCCAGGCAGTTGCAAGGAATTAACTCTGATCCGAAGGCCCACACATACACAAAACAAGTAACATTTGTGCTTTCCAAACTTGATTGTGGGGTCCTTGGTAAACAGATTCTTATGGCTCACAAGGATAAAATGTAGATAGGAAACCCTAACAGCTTGAACGTTAGTTTAGTTTTGATCACCTTGATTATGTATGGTGCCTACACCATCATATCCATCAGGCACTTAGAATGATCCATCTTCTGCCAATTTCAGTTTAATTTAAACTGGAAGCCAATATTCTTTCTCCCCATGAAATATGACTGCCATTTAGTTCCTTTGGGGGCTGGAACTCTGCCCTTGTGAATTATGCTCTACTACTGAAATGTCTTTGGTGTTCCAAAATGAACAGGATGTCAAACCCATGAGCAATCCTTCTCAATTAAGTTAGTTTTGCTCAGAGGTTGACTGGTTGAACTAGTGTTACACAAAACATGAACCCTTTATTTTCCAAGTCCTACCAAAAATGCATACAAAGGCCAACCAGCTTGGGCTAACTTTGCCTGCTAGAGAGGAATGTTACCCCAGGGCTTGGAGCCTTTTGCGTATATTTGGGAAAGGTGGCAGACATGGATAATAATGGAGATGTCAAAGGTTAAACAGCAAAGATTAGATGAACACAAAAGACAAGTTAAGGAAGTGTTAACTTCTTACTGATTGAGACAATAAAAAAGAAGTTCCCAAAAGTTCCCAGTGTTTCAAAGAGCCTATGGAGCCCACACTGAGAATACCAACTTTGCCCCCCCTCCCAAAACAGGGCTGAGGCAGTGGGAAAAATACTGGTCTGAGCTCCAACTAAAATCTGTGAAAGATCAAAGGAAAATAGATCTGCTGTTTTGCCTGTTCCAGCGTAATGTTAACTGCTACCTTGCCCTGCAATAATTGAATCTGCTGTGGCCAAGGAGGCTTTGCCTGTTTGTTTGGAAGTTTGCTTTAATGGATTTGTTTTACAGCAAGAGGACTGGAGCAAATCCCACTTGAACAGCCTTTTGCTGTGGCTAGAGGGGGCAACTATGAATGAGTGGGAGTAGGTGGTAATAGTTTCTTTTTAAAGTCCTTTGGGGCAGCTCTGTTCTCTTCCACCTTTACAATCGCATGGTAGCCATTGAGTAGCTCCAGTTTTCTTCTTTGTTATATTTCCTGGGAAAAGCTGTATCTGCTAAATTTCGAATTGTCATAAGCATTATGCCATTGTCATCCCTTCTCCAAAAGTCATGATAGACAGCTTTCTCAGGACTGTGGGCCCCAACCTGCTTTTCCAACCAGCTGAAAATGACATCACAGGAAGAGCAGAGCCAATATTTCAGCCTGTATTTTAAAAAGGGGGGGGGAATGGGAGTTGGAAGCCTCTATGAGGCAAACTATTTTATTTCTACCCTGAAACCCTGACCCCTACCCTAAAATCATATTGCTGAAATTTGACAGTAAATGGCTGAATTTAAGTGGCACAGTTTTGGATGGGTTTTGGAGGAATTTAAGGGTAGGACATTTCAGTGATTTGTTGCCAAGAGGCTTCCCTCTTCCATTTTCACCTTTAAGAAAAAAAATTAAAAACAAAAGTTGCTGAAAATTGGTAATTTTGCTAACAATTTCTAGTAGCTTATCTTGGAAGGCTGGGGGGAGCACATGCAGCCTATGGGTTGCTCATTCCTGTCCTAAAGGATTAACTATAGTCTCTTACAACTCCCATGATCAGGCCACTAACATGAACCGAACAGTATGTAATATGGGGATGGGGAACCTGTGGGCCTCCAGCTGCTGTTGAACTACAACTCCAGGCATCCCTTCCCAGTCTCCATGTTTGCTGTGGCTGGTAGTTTAACAATAGCTGGAAATCCCCAAGTTCCCATCTAGACTACTCAGTTTCAGTAAAAGAGTAGAATAATTTATGGAAGAATGAATAAAATGCAAACATACATACACTGCTTTGGTTGCTTTAGCAAAAAGCACAAGGTATCTGAACTGAAGTTATTTTATCTTCTGCTTTCTTCACAATAAAGAGCAAACTACAATGAATAATGGCATATAATAGGAAAATCACAAAAGTCCTATAATCCAAGTTCTAAAGAACCTAGCAGCTTTGCTATGGAGGAATTTCTGTAACAACACTACCATAAATGAAAAATATGTATTCCTATGATAGAAGCCAATTCCACTTCTGAAGCTAATAGTTGGAATGTTCTCTTAAACAACGCGAAATTGCTGAAAGACTGGAAATATTCTTTAAGACATTAACTTTGTCCCAGCTGTGGGTGCTAGGTTAGCTTTTCTTGTTACAATAGTTGCTTTGCAAATAGAACTCAAGGGGACTTGGCTTTAGCTACTTCTAATGTATTTCCTGCTCTGTTTTTGATTACATTAGATATTCAGGCAACAGTTACCTTTCTGCTTTCCAAAATTTCAGTGAACTGCACTGAAAGTAGAATTTTTAGCTAGATGTTATGTGCCAGATGATCGTTGTAGCTGCTCAGATTCCATTTTCTATCTTAAGAAAAAAAGAGCACCCCTGCAGGATCACAATAAGGACTTACTTATTACTTAGTTTGGCAGGGTTTACACAACACTTTGAACATAATGTGATTGTTTGGTTATGGCTAAGCATGGTGTGTGAAGCCAGCCATTGTGGTTTTTAAACAGTGGTGTTCACAGTAAACTGTGATAGCACCCAAATGACATGAATTATGTAATGGTAATCATTCAAATACTGCTATTCCATAGTTGCATCCCAATATCAGATGCAAATATGTAAGTTGCAGCATTTAAATAATGATGGTAGCACACCTGTTGTGATTTGTCCACTTACCTCATGCAGATATCCATGTTCATACACCATTGTTAATGGATTAGTATGTGAATTCAGCCAATTATAATTTAACCAATAAATCATAGTTAAACCTTGGCTTAGAAAAATACGTGATTGAGCTAAGTCTTTGTTTCTACCATTGGCCAGTCAGAACGAATCATATAAAAGCTCTGTTTGTTGCAGCAGTAATTCAACTTTTCCTGTTTTCTTTAGTAGACAGAGTAATTGAGATTTACTTTAGAATTTTTATTCAACCATGTCTGGGATTTCCAATGGGCAAGGCAAGCAACCCCTTCATGGATCACTGCCTTGTCATGGTGAAGGGGCTTGCATAACTCAGTGAAGCCATGAGCTACGCCATGCAGGGCCACCCAAGACAGACAGGTCATGACAGAGAGTTCTGACAAAATGTGATCCACTGGAGAAGGAAATGGCAACCCACTCCAGTATCCTTGGCAAGAAAATCCCATGGACAATGTCAAAAGGCTAAAAGATATGATGCTGGAAGATGAGCCCCTCAGGTCAGAAGGTGTCCAGTATGCTACTGGGGAAGAGCAGAGGGCAATTCCAAGTAGCTCAAGAAAGAGTGAAGCAGCTGGGCCAAAGCCAAAAAGATGTTCAGCTGTGGATGTATCTGGAAGCGAAAAGAAGGTCTGATGCTGTAAAGAACAATA